ACACTCGTACAGATATAGTTCATTTGATCAATAAAATGTAAACAGGTGGTGTACACGACACAAACTTCTTAATTTCTGCTCTTCAGATGTTTGCAGCTGCGAGTTATGCAGCGTCAAATATATTGATGCATACCTTAGAGTAATCGGTATTTTCATTGGTAGATTCTTTTTAAGAGAATGAGTCATAAATTAACATTTAAACCTAATGTTTCTGTTTCTGGAACAACAACTGAACGAATCTTGATTTGCTGACTCACGACTTCAGCCGCACTGCAGTCCTATTTTTCTGTAATCTCATCCACGAGCTAAATGACGCGTGAAAAACAGGATCAAACGACAAAGGCACGCGGTCCGATCATTTATTAAACCAGACATCGTCTACCATGCGAGATGAAAAATTTTCATCGTCTCATGTATTATTCCGTGTAATTTTGAAGATATAAGAATACCGTTAGTAAGACGGTGAAGCCATGCGACAAGTATACTCATGTACGCCGCAGCAACATCGAACCTTACCAAGAAGGAACCAAAGAGTTTAGGCATGTTTCAGCCATGTTTCAGCCAGAATACTCTACTAATAGATCAACTAATAAGATAAAAATACTACAGAAAGCACAGTCAGCCGTCGAACAGCGAATAGCTTCAAGTTTTCTTCTGACAAAATAAAGAAACTAGAAGTCTCAGAATGGAATGACAAGCTGCTGAACAACAACATCATTTGCAGTGGGTCGAACTCTAGCTAGAAAAGGCCGACGGGCAGGTAAAAAATTTACTGTTCGTCGACAGCATCGGAGACGGGGACTGCAACATAAGGAGTTCAGCTTTACTCATCGACAAAGTTCTAATTAATCTGCCGGCACAACAAACAGTTTGCAATTATATTTGACATTACGTACGGTAGAAAACAATATTAAATGATGACAAGGAATGCTCGGACGTCGTAACCCTCTGCGATATCCAATGAGTTATTTACACGTGAAGGCGTGACCTCGAAATTTTCGAATTGTTCGATGTTAAAAATTTTCAGCTATTTACACTGCCTGGTAATAATTTGCCTCACAAATCATTAGAAGGGTGAGTCATTTAAAAGTCGCGACAGACGTTATGAAATGATGCAATATTTAGAAGTCGATGAAACAGATTAATGATATTCCCTGTTAGTTCGATCATTGACCACTAACAGTACTTGCGCGTAGTAACTTCCAATTTCTGACAGGTGCTTCGTCTGATGATTCAATCTGAGCCCAGTTTTAATCTTTTATCTTTTCTATA